AACATCAGCTGAGTTTTTGCAGATATTCTTTATCATGTTGAGGAAACTACCCTCTTTTCCTAGTTTGGTGAGAGTTTGTTTTTCATCACGAATGGGTGTTGAACTTTGTGGAATGTTCTATTAAGATGATTATGTGACTTTTGTCCTTTATTCTATGTTATACTACGTTGACTGATTTTCATATGCTAAACCAACCTTGCATTCCTGGGGTAAATCCCAGTTGGTCATGCTGTATAATGCTTTTCATATGTTGCTGAATTTGGTTTGCTAATATTTTGTTGTGTTTTTGTTTCTATAATCATAACAAATATTGGTCGGCAGTTTTCTTGTAATATCTTTGAGTGGTTTTTGTTTGTTTGGCTGGAGTGCAGTGGTATGATCTCGGGTCACTGCAGCCTTGATCTCCCATGCTCAGGTGATTCTCCTGCCTCAGCCTCCCAAGTAGCTGGGACTAGAGGCACGCACCACCACACCAGACTAATTTTTGTATTTTTTGTGGAGATGTTGGGATGACAGGCATGAGCCACTGTGCCCAGCTGATATCTTTGGTTTTGGTATCAGGGTAATATTACACTCATAGAATGAGTTGGGAGGTATTTCTTCCTCTTCTGTTTTTTGGAACAGTTTGTGAAAGATTGGTACTAATTCTTGCCTGGAGACATTTAAGGGTAGATGTTAAGTTGGACATAAGAATTCAGAACTCAGGAGAGAGGGTGGGGCTGTATACCCAGATTTGGGGGAGACAGGGGAGAGAGACCAGGCTCAGCTCAGAAGGGAACCTGTTAGAGAAGGCCCAAAGCCAGGCAGATGAGACTGCACAGGGAAAGTGGGAGAAGATAGGGCCTAGAACAGAGGCATGAGAAGCATCAGCACGACCAGCCATATAAACAAAGACAGTTCTACAGAGGATACCAAGAGCACAGGGTCTTGCAGCAGGGAGTTTGGTAATCTTGGCCAGAGCCTGTGGTAGGGATAGAGCCAGCCTGCTGTGTTAAGGCAGGACTGGAACATGAGGAAATGGACATAAGGAAATGTTTCCTGAAGGAGAACAGATTTCCTCTTAGGGGGCCTTTTTAAAGCTTTATTTTGAGAGAGTCTCACTCTGTCACCCAGGCTTGAGTGCAGTGGCATGATCTCAGCTCACTGCAGCCTCTGCCTCCTAGGCTCAAGTGATTCTTATGCATCGGTCACCCAAGTAGCTGGGAATACAGGCGTGCGCCATCACGTCCAGCTAATTTTTGTATTTTTAGTAGAGAGGGGGTTTTGTTATGTTGGCCAGGCTGGTCTTGAACTTCTGGCCTTGAGTGATCTGCCCACCTCAGCCTCCCGAAGTGCTGGAATTACATGAATGAGCCACTGCACCCAGCCCTCTTAGGGGTGCCTTTTTTGAGAATGGGAATGAGCCTGAAACCCCAGCTGGGCCCAGCTGCCCATCCCTTCCACAACAAGAGGCCCTACTTGGATTCATCCTATGATTCCAGAGACAATAACTTACCTGTGTTTCTTCTGGGAAAGTGAGGACCTCCGGGGCTCATTGAAAGGACTAAGAAGGGGCTCCCTTTGAGATTCTGGTTTTGCTGAAAGGTTTATTCTGGGAGGAGTGGGCACCTCACAGGAAATATGATTGCCAAGGGGTGATGTGAATGAAGGAAACCTTCTTTGAGACAGAGAGCTTCAGAAAGCTCCTGGGAAAGAGTAAGGCTCCAGCTCAGCCCCAGACGAAAGGGCCCAGCGCTGAAGCTGAGTTCTGCTCTGACAGCTCCTCCAACAGAGGCCAGGACAAGCTGCTTCTCCCCCAAAACGAGGAGAACCATTGCCTTGCCAGACCATGCAGAGATGAGTAGAGGGAGATTAAGGAGCTCTCCTGGTCATTCCCCAACCTCAGCCCCATGCCCCAGAGCCCCCTGCAGCTTGGCTTCTCCCCTCCTCCACCTCTCAGCCCACCTCTCTCTCTCCTTGCCTAAGCTCCCAGCCTCCTTGTCACCTTCACTGCAGGGAAGGAGCCCAGATGAAGGCACAGGCAGAAGAGGGCTGCCCTGGGGGCCACATACACCCAAGGGAAAGAGAAGGGAGGGTGGGATGGGCTTCAGGCCAACCTGGGGGCATGCTTGGGTGACTTCCTTGCTTTGGAGAATAATGCGGCTGTTTAGGGTAAGATCTTAATGAGGAAACCAGAACTGACCCCTGTCCTGAGCACTCGTCCCTGGAGGAGGCCTCTCCACGAAGAACCTGCATTGGGTTTCACCTATCACCTTCCATCCCATCACCCAGGGTGGGGAAGGGGCAGACCTGGCAGAGCAGAGCCACACCCAGCCACACCCCAGGGATCAGTCACTCAGTCTTCTGAAACCTGGGTGGTGCCTGGCCCATCTGGGTTCCTTCCTTCTCCTAGCCCAAGTCCCTGCCCCCAGCCTTGTCCCTGGAGGGCTCAGCCCTGCTCCCCTCCTTCTGAGGGGGACTCTTGGCCCCAGGAGAGAGCACAACTCCAAGGTCACTTCCCACTCATCCCCCACACTGGGTTCAGCCTGTGCCACCCAGGACCTGGTGCTTCTGGGCCTGGCAAGAGACCGAGAGAAGATGTGACTGTGCTCCAGGAACAGAAAGTGCCATTCGGACCCGAGATAAAGAGACTGAGCGCATTTATTCACACACAGAGGTGGATGAGGGGCTCAGGGTTTGAACTCGATGACACTGACGGCGATCCGGGCTGCCCGCTGTAAGGCTTCAGCCACTTGAGGCTTTTCGTGAGATTCCACCTCCATGGCACGGAAAGTGGGCACGTGCACCTGCAGGACCTTGCGGCCCTCGGGGGCCTCTGCCAGCATGGTAAGGGCCTTGGTGGCGTTCAGGCGCGCTACGGTCATGGGGGAGTGCAGCAGCTCCAGGAGCGGGCTGATGGCTTGTGCCTCCAGGGCCGCATACTTCCCTGTAGGCCACCAACACAGGGCGTTCCTAACAGCCCAAGGGGCCCTCTTCTCACCCCCTCACCCTAGCCCTCTCCTGACCCTCCTCCTTGTGCAGTCTCAAGGGGTTTATGCCTGGTTTACGCCCCACCAACATGCCCTCACCCTCAGGGCTCTTGCACCTTGGCTGAGTCCAGCCTGGGCCCGGCCCCTTCATCTCTTGCCTTTCTGGCCTCAACTGGCTAATCTCAGCCCAGGAGTTGTATCCTGCCCAGGAGTTCAAGAGCAGCCTGGGCAACATAATGAGATTCCATCTCTACAAAAATTTAAAAATTAGCCAGATGTGGTGACAGGTGCCTATAGTCACAGCTACTCAGGAGACTGAGGTGGGAGGATCACTAGAGCCTGGGAGTTTGAGGCTGCAGTGATTGTGACATTGTACTCCAACCTGGGTGACACACTGAGACCCTGGCTCTTAAAAAAAGCAAACCCAGCCGGGCGCGGTGGCTCACGCCTGTAATCCCAGCACTTTGCTGAGGGGCGGGACAGGATCCACTCCGAGTGTCAGGAGATCGAGACATCCTGGCTAACAACGGGGGGAACCCCGGCTTACTAAAATTGCAAAAAAATTAGCCAGGGCATGGGGTGGGTGGGGCACCTGTAGTCCCAGCTACTGGGAGGCTGAGGCAGGAGAATGGCGTGAACCTGGGAGGCGGAGCTTACAGTGAGCTGAGACTGTGCCACTGCACTCTAGCCTGGGCGACAGAGCAAGACTCCGTTTAAAAAAAAAAAAAAACTAACTCAATAGTTCATTTATGTTGCCGATATTTCTTGAGCACCTACTCTGCACAAAACACACACGGTTCCCGGGAGATGCCCTCCTCAACCCTTCGCTGCCCCTTCCTGCTGTCCTTGCCGGCCCTACACTCCTGCAGTTCCCAGCGGACTCTCCCCTTTGCTGGTGGAACCTTTCAGCCTGGGCCCTGCCAATTCCCATTGTCCTTGGGGTTGATTCCAAGCCCTTCCCAGAGGAGGCTTGGCACCTGTGTGTGCCCCACCCATGCTGGGCTTCTCCTTCACATCCCTCATCACTGCCTCCCAGGGCCTGGCACGTGGCAGGGGCTTCAAGACCCTCAGCTGGAGTGCCAGCTTGGGAATAAGTGGCCTCATCTCCCTGGGTCCCAGCCTCTTGTGTGTCGAGCCCCATGGCCCTCCAAGCACTCCTGCAGGAAGCCTGGACCGAGACGGACACTGGGCTGAGGCTGTCCCAAGATAAACACGCAGGGGAAGCCCCTGCCACCATGCAGCATCCTGACTATACCAGTAAAAGGAGGGGCTGTGAACTCCAAGAAGGACCCAACCTCTCCCATCTGCGTACCTCAAGCAGCATTAGGGTCAGGTGTGGAGGGCCTGGGAGGACCTGTCTTTGGGAGGCTGATTGCAATTCCAAGCCCAGATGGTCCTCTGTGGAACTCAAAGGAAGCACAGGGCCCCAGGCTGGTGGGTGCGTAGGGGTCAGAGGGAAAGTCAAACGCTTTCAGGGGACCTGGGAGTGCCATGCCCCAGTCTGCCAGGTGTGGAAACAGCCCAGCGTTCTTCCATTCGCCCAGGGTTGGGTGACTTAGAGGGGAAGCCTGACTGGTTGGGAGTCCCAATTCTGAATTTGCCCCCTGCCCCAGTTTAAAAAAGTAATTATGATGAATAAACACCATAGAGTCCAGGGCTCCAGGATTTGCTTAGACCTCAGGATAACAGAATCATGGATGGTAAACTAATCAACTCCTAGGTCACAGCTCACGAGGGGCCTGGGTGGGAGGTGGGAATTCTAGGCCCAGGGAACAGACTGGTGTGAAGGCACAGAGGTCCTAATGTGAGTGACCGGTGAGGGGCCACTGTGCTGGGGAGAAGAGGGAGGGCTGAGCCTCAGACCCAACCTTGAAAGGACATCAGTGATAGACCAAGGGGAGGGTTGTTTTTTTTTTTTTTTTGCAAAGTGTGGGGTTTGGGGAACAACACCCAGCCCCTAAGCACAGAAAGCTCATCATGGCTGCTAGTCTGCTGGGGTCTCCCTCCCTGTGGCACCCCCGACCGCCTCACCTTCAGTGATCACTGTGGCGAACATCAGGGCCCCGGCGGCATTAGACTTCACATGCTCCACCGGGTCTTTCAGTAGATGCACCAGGATGGGGATGACGTCAAACTTACACACCTGTTTCTTGCCCTCTCGAGATATGCTGGGGCAGAGAGGGAACAGAGAGGGGCTCTGCTTGGAAGGGAGAAGAGGGGCAAGGCCCAGGAGTGCTCCAGGGAAACACAAAAGAAAGAATTGTGTTGGGACTACCCCAGGTAGTCCAAGGACTGGTCCCCATGATCCAGGACTGGTCAAGGCGGGGATGCTGGGCTGCAGAGGAGAATTGGTGTGAATGCGGCCCACTGCGAGTGAAGACCAGGGAGTGACAGGGCCTCATTCTGAGCCAGCACACAGAAAAGAAACAGGGCACATTCTCCGTGGCCCCAAAATGGGGAAGAGCAGGACCCAGGGATGTCAACCACAGGGAGACCCGTTTTGACTTTGCCTAGGAGCCAGAGCTGCCAGTGATGGGTCAAGCTGCCCCCAACAGCAGTGGCTGCCAGGCACTGGGCAACTGCAGCTAAGGACTCAGACCAGGTGACCTTTAGGCCACTTACTCTGGTACTGAATGAAGTTGTGGAAATGAGGATGATGACTCCCTAAAAGTTTCCTGTGAGAGGGTCAATTCTGTCCCCTAAAAAGCAAGGGTTCCCTGGGCCAGGAAACACTGTTCACAAGCCCCACAGGAGTGTCACAGTGCAAAGACCCCTGTGTCACTTAATCAACCTTTCCCAAACGTAGCCACCAAAGAACCCTTATTTTTGTAGAGCTCTTAATGACCTCAAAGACACAGGTGTTCCCTGGGAAACAGATTGAGAAATGGGGTTGGCCAGCCACTAGCTGTGACCTTGGGAGCCTGTGGAGCTTTCAGGACAGTGGGACTCAACCCCGAGGCCCGTGATCAAAGATGCAGAGTCCTGGGCCCCACATGCAGGGATTCCCCGATTCGTTCACACAGCGAGACACTGAGACAAAAGCTGGGTTTCTCCAGCTCAGCGTTCTTTAGGGCCAGATAATTCTCAACTGGGGGCCAAAGCTCCACCGCTGCAAACCCTGGGTTTAGGGCAGGCAACAGAGGAAAGCCCTGTCCTCAGGAGCTCCCCTCGGGGATGACACACAAAGTAACGGCAGGGATGGTGTTCACAGTGGACATGGGAGGACGGGGGACAGCGGGGAGGTTACAGTTTCAGAGAGAGAGCTCTCTCCTGGCAAGCCACTCTCGTGGTCACACAGAAAGGGGACCTCTGAGCAGACCTAAGAATGACGGGGCTGGGACAGGGTCCAGGAATCTGCTTTTTCACAAACCTCCCGGGCGCCTGGGTCAGGAGCCCCACTTGCAGAAATACTGGCCTGGGCCTCTAGTGAGACTCTCAGAAGAGAAGCCAGGACTCAGGGAAGGCAAGAGGGCCTCCACTAAAGAGACGTAGCCCCAGCTAAGGCAGGGACTCTGGGGGTCGGTGACCAGCCCATCCTTGTGAAGAGGGGCCCAATGTGAGAACACACACCGCACCCCGCCCCTTGCAACTTTGAGGCTTTGTGCTCCCTCAGTTTCCAGGCCAGGATGTAGACTGTGATCTTGTGTGGCCTGGGGTGAGAGACAAGACACTGCCTCCATTTCTCACCTGTGAAGGCAGACATCGCCTCCCTGGAGGGTTGTCTAAATGTGAGGTTTGGAGACAACGCCTGGCACACAGGAGGCACTCAGTGACCGCTGGGTGTCATGATCATCACCAGTGCATCTCCTGTGCTGGCCTTCCTCATGGGGAGGGGGTGCCAGTCGTCTGGCTTTGTCCAGCCAGGGGGTTTTCTGGGATACAGGACACTCCCAGGCCAAAGGGATGGTGGTCACCCTAGGGGAGAAGGTCATCCTCCGTCCCAGCTTCCTCCTGCCCCTAGGCACAAGCAGGCAAGGGGAAGCAGGCCCAGGGTGGCCGCCCTTGAGCTCTGAACCAGCCCAGCTCAGGTGCCTTCCCCCAGCCTTGGCAGAAACCCAGCCTAGGCCAGGACTCACCTGACATTAAGGAGTGCATGAGCAGCCTTGCTGCGGATGTTCTCGTTGACACTGAGGAGCTTCTGCTTCAGGACAAGCACCACGTTGCTGCCCAGGGCCTCAGTGGCATCCTCCCGCAGGCAGAGGACCAGTGTGTCCAGGATGAGCTCCTGGAACTCCTCCTCCCGCTCCACCTGCAGCTTCCACACCAGCGGGGAAATCAGACCCTTGCTGATGATCTCTTGGGCCCCTACAAGGCAGGAAAGGGCGCTGAGGGCGGGCCGGCCACCCACCCACCCATGCCAGTTGGCCTGCAGGGCTCAAGGAGGGTCTTGCAGAGCCAGTGGGTGGGTTTGACAAGAGGACTTGCAAGTGCCACCCCCCCCACACACGTCCTCCCCGGCCAGGGGCCTGAGCAGCCAGCAGGCGGCTGCAGTGACAGCCATGTCGGGCTGAGGGCAGAGGCTCAGAAGACCCGGGAAGGACCAGCCTTTGGTCACCAGTGTCTCAGGGGGCATCCACCATAGCAGGCGCACGTCAGCCGGAGAGGCAGTAGCCACCCTTCAGAGAGCCAACAGCTCACTCCTGTGGGGCCCAGGCACACTAGGAGACCTCCACTCTTCCCTCCCCCTGCCCCAGAGTTGGGGAGCCAGTCAAGCCCCCACTTCCCATTCACCAAAATATTTCAAAGCTGCTGGAGACCCCACACTGGTCTGACCAGTCCTTGAGAAGAGCGTGGGTTTGACTCTGAGACAGAAGACCTAGAGTACAGGCCAGTGTCTTGCACACCAAAAAGAGCTGTGCCTCAACTCTGTGCTCTGGTCTTCAAGGGACCTCGGGCTCTGTGGGAAGGGGGGCTCCACATGGCACCGCTGGGGTGCAGGTACTGGGAGAAGCACAATGAGGCAAGACTCCCCCATAAACAGACCCCACCTGGCTCCTCCCAGCTCCCTTCCCTCCTAAGGAATGTCAGCAAGTGGCTGCCTAGAGAATCCAGAACTTGGGCATGAGTGGCATCCTGAGGAGCCCAGGACGGTGGGCAGAACAGCCCTCCTGAGTCACTGAGATGAGATGCACAGGGAATGTGCAGAGTGCCCTTTCCCATGGCATGCGGCTGCCCTCACCATTGCCCTGCAGCCCACTGCCCACTGCAAAGCCATCTACAGCCCCCAGGGAGGTGGCCACCAGCAGACACCTCTTTCTTCCGCCCTCCCCAGCTAAACTGTCTAATTTACTCTAGAGAGAGAAATAAACAGGTTGATTAGCCTAAAGGTCTCCAAGTGCCAATTAGTACCAGGGATTTCCTCTTTGAAGACATCACCCCAGCCTTCTTCCCCTGCTCCCTGAGGACATCAAACTGCAGGTGCCCAGGATGATGGGGTAGAGAGGTGGAGCAGGGTGCTGAGTGACTCTTACTGTCCCCCCATGTCTCATAATGTCCAGGGGCTCCCCGTGCCCCATCCCCCAGGTTCCCTGGGGTGGTGTCAGGTGGCTCCCAGTGCCCCTGGCTACCTTCTCACTGGGGTATAAGATGGAGCAGCTAGCTGTGCCGTTTGTTCTCAGGGCTCTGACCACCCAGGAAAAGTGGGTTCCTGTTGCTTCTAGAGTGTTGGGCTTTTTTATTTAATGTGCACAGATTTCAAAAAAAAAAAAAAAAAAAAAGGCCTAGGTCTCATTCTAAACACATCGCTTCCAAGCTGTGTGACCTTGGATGAGCTACTCAACCTCTCTGAGCCTAGTTTCCTTATCACTGAAATGGGCCTACCTGGCAGGGGATTGTGGATGAAAATGTGTTCCACGTGCTGTGGATTTCTTCATCCATATAAGGGTCTGTCCCTGTGTGCCCAGAACATCTGGGCCTAGGGTGGCAAGAGTCTCCTGAATTCCACCAACACTGAGCCCCAGTTACAAGCAAGGGCCTGCTGGGGGCTGAGGGGTAGGATACAAGACAAATGCTGCACAGCCCAAGCCCTGCAGAGCCCGTTGGTGCAGAGCCCCTGCCACTCCTCCTGGAGGCCTGATCCTCTCTCCCGCGCAGCTCCCTGCTTTGCCCAGACCACACACCTGGCCTCCTGCTCCCGCTCTGCTTCCCCTCAGGTTCTGCCCACGGTCTCCCTACCCACTCCTGGCTATAGATCCAACTCAGCGGTGACCTGGACGGCCCTCTTCCAGCTCACGGCAGGGAGGTGACAATTTGACCTTCTATTAATTTTGCTGGCAGATGGAAGGACAAGGTTCTGGGATGGGGACACCTGAGTAAAGACCTAGGGGTAAGGAAGTTGTTAATTTTCAAATCACGGCTAGATTGTAGCCTCATCTGCACCTATCTGAGCTTCCCAGGAAATCCCTGGGACAGGTGTCGTTGCTGGAGCTGCTGCATGAGTCAGGATGGGCACAAGTTGGGGGGAGGGATACAGAGAGAGTTGAGGTCAGAAAAGTCAACATTCAGGGTGTTCAGCTCCATTGCCCACCTCTCCTTGGTGAGGAAACTGAGGCCCAGAGAGGCAACTTGAATACCCAAGGTCACACAGCAGATGGTGGCAAAGCCAGGCAGGGCCCTCAGCTCCTTGGGTTTTGTTTCTCAGGCATTGGTCTTGTACTTCTGCTCCTAGAAATGCTTAGCACAGGGACCGGGGTTCATTTTGAGACAGAGGGAGAAGATTAAAAATAAAACGCGTGCCGGGTGTGCCTTTCTGCTCGTTCACTTTGCTTCTTTTCAGCTAAAAGAAGAGTCTCGGGCCTGGCTATTTATAACTAACCCAGATCTGCGATGGTTTGCTCAAGTGGGGGTGGGGCACACAGACCCCAGGGAAACAGTCCGGGAAACCCACCCAACTGGGCGGTAGCCTGAGAGTCTGCTGGGGGTGGGGGGTGGTTGCAGAGGAGGTAGGACAGGTGGGGCACAGAGAACCAGCCAGATGGGGTGGCACCAGAGCAGGCCAGGCTCTGGGCCATCCATGGTTTAGAAACAAGCAACACATGCCCACCCCACCCCCGGGAAGCGGGAAAACTAGTGGAAGAGTCAGCTGGGGACAGGTCATTACAGAACAGGTTGACATGTGTGTAGACCAGGAATTCCAGGGTCCTAGGGGCTCTGGAGGTGCACAAAGGGAGGCCCTGGGGAAGCTGGTTCTCATGGAGATGAAGGAGAGTCCAGAACAGCAGGGGAACAAAGGTGTGTTTGTGGGGAGTGCCCGATCTGGCCTGGCTGATATGTAGGGGCTAGGATGGGTTCAGTGGTTGATGAGCCAAAGAGATCTATTGGGATAGAGGGGTCACGGATGTCCATGGTGTGCAGCCCCAGTGGTGGAGTTTGGGTCATTTTCTTTATCTTATTTTTTTTTAATGAGACAGAGTCTCGTTCTGTTACCTAGGCTGGAGTGCAGTGACATGATTTCCACTCACTGCAAGCTCCGCCTCCCGGGTTCACGCCATTCTCCTTCCTCAGCCTCCCGAACAGCTGGGACTACTGGTGCCCACCACCACACCTGGCTAATTTTTTGCATTTTTAGTACAGATGGCGTTTCACTGCATTAGCCAGGATGGTCTCAATCTCCTGACCTCGTGATCCGTGAAGGTGGGTCATTTTCTTTGTGGAGGGGGCAGGGGGTGCAGGTGCTGACACCATTTTCAGGGGCCACTCCTCAGCCAGCTGTGCCTGCTGGGTTGGGGAGGTGCTGAGTGGCCTCAGTCACCACCAGGACAGAGCACCAGCACCCAGGTTCTGGTCACAGCCACACCCTTTCCTGCCAGAGGACTGCACATCCACACATGGCATCTGGGGCCCACCTTGCCACAGGGGACCCACCTGTCCAGCTTTAGCCTTGCGTGGCCCTGTGCCCTGAACTCGTGGCCCACTGAGCCTGTCTTTGCTCCAAGGGGTGCTTCTCTGTCCTCAGCTTTCTTGGCTTCCCAGTAGCCGGGAGCATGGTTAACAGCTTCTTCCTTCACCACATGCTCTCTTCCCGTGCCTCTGGTACTCTCCATTCTCTGGTTCCTGACCACCTCTCCAACTGCTTCTCCATCTTTTTGGTAAGCACCATCTCTTCCTCCAGTGGTCCCCACCTTCTCCCCTTCTCTCACCTCCCTGGGTCCTGATAATACCCCGCTACTGTCTCCCAACATGCTCTGCCATCTCACAGCCACAGCAGACCCTGCACTGTACTCGGCCTCACAGACTGACTTCTGTGCTCACTCCCACATCCTCTGGACTGACTGATGTTATTATTATTTTACTATGTCCAGTAGGACAACTCACATTGTCTGTGGGACCATGCCTACTGTAAATAGGGAACAAAAACTCGTCCTCCTCCTTCTCAAATTCAAAAGACTATCGTTAAAACTCTCTAGTGGTTCTTAGGCCAACGTCCCGACCCTACTGTCCCGAGCTGGCATCTGTGCACGGGCAATGGCCCCGGCCACATTGGTCTTCTCTGGGTTCTTCCTGGCCTCGTGCTCCTTCATGTCCTGCACTCTCCCCGCCTTGGAACTCACTTCCCTCCCACCCTACGTCACTGGCCACCTCCACACCTGCTATGGCCTCATTCTAAGCATCTCTTTCTTTTTTTTTTTTTTTTTTTTTGAGGCGGAGTCTCGCTCTGTCGCCCAGGCTGGAGTGCAGTGGCGCGATCTCGGCTCACTGCAAGCTCCGCCTCCCGGGTTCCCGCCATTCTCCTGCCTCAGCCTCCCATGTAGCTGGGACTACAGGCGCCGCCACCACACCCGGCTAATTTTTTTGTATTTTTAGTAGAGACGGGGTTTCACCATGTTAGCCAGGATGGTCTCGATCTCCTGACCTCGTGATCCGCCCGTCTCGGCCTCCCAAAGTGCTGGGATTACAGGCTTGAGCCACTGCACCCGGCCAGCATCTCTTTCTTTGGGAAGCTGGCCCAATGCCCAATGCTCCCCCACTCCACGTGCCCCCAGAGCCCCAGTGGGTCTCCTCAGATAACCTCACATGATTGTAAGGCCCAATCATTGTTTGCTTTCTGCCCCTGCCCTACAGTCAGAAGATCTGCCAGTAAAGGGCCGGTCTGAATCCTAGAACTGTGCCTACAACTATACCCTGGTGGAAGAGGCTATCTGTAAGTGACTGCTGCATGAATACAATATTGGTTTGATGCCAGGTGAGATGCCCCTCTCTTAATTTGAGGTGATCATCAGCGTCAAGTCAGGGAGGTGTCAGCCAGCCCCAGTGGACCCCTCTGCAAGCTAGCCTCTGCTCTACACCTGGACCACTGGAAAGGGCCG